GCCAGCTCACACGAAATGCGTTATCACATACGTCAGGCCGACGACCGAGCGTTGCGTCACACAATAATCCCACAATCCATCAGCCTTGACCCGAAGTCACATGATATTGTGACGGGTAACGCGTCGGCCACTGACGTATTGACGCATTTTCCGGCTGTAGCGTCCTATCTTTGGTACACATGTATCAACCCATACATTCGTTCCCCCATCGACAAGAAAGCATGGGGTTTTTTTGAACTGCCTGGACACTGCAAAAAAGTTAGTGTTGTAAACCCCACTTGTGTGAGCGCAGGATGGTTCACACCCACTATTGCTCATATTTGACTGTTATTTTTTCAATTCACAAAGAAAGAGGGGGCACCTACTCTCCCTTTGACAAAAAAAAACGCCCTCTCCCCCCCGCCCTGGACATTGGGGGGTAAACCAGGAAAGCCCAGTACCTGAAAGCACTAGGGCTATGATTACTTTAGTGGGTGGGACCCCCAATTTTTTTTTTTTTGGGGGGGATAATAAACGCCTCTCATAGGCATGCAATTAGCAGGAGAGCTGCACACCTCACTGCCTCCATTGCAAATTTGGAACCTACAGTAGCCTGATGTTGAGGACACTAGGCATAAAATGCCTGATTGCTCAGGAAGGAATGTCTGCAAGAGGAGCTTTTCTACCCACCAACTACTGCCCCCATCCTTATACAGAAAAAAAAAAATTGATATAATTTTTTTTTTTCTAATTATTTCCTATACTGCACTCTTCAGCTGGCTATTTTGTAAAATAACATAAAATTTCAAACTGACATAATTGCAAACTGACAGTGTTCCTGCTTCATTCTATGCCCATTTAGTCCCAATATGAGATGTTACAGGGAACTCCTGCCCAGGAGTTCCATGGTCACTTAAAACCATGCCGAGTGGCAAGAAATCTTATTGCTCAAATGGTGTTCACTCAACATATACTGCATCTACGGAGGAGCAGGGTTGTCACCCAAGGACAGGAAGCATGTTAAGGTCACTCTCATCTTTATAAGTGAAGGCATTCTGTAGTCCCACAGAACAGAACACATAGCCAAACTCAAAACAATTTTCTTCTGTAACAGACTTGAAAGCAATCAAATCGGATAAGTTTATTGGAAGGGCTTACATAACGTTTTGCTCATTACAGAATATTACAGGAAGGGGCATCCAATAAGCCCTTCTGTGGGCATCGTTATAGGGCTGTCAAATAGGTATCACCCTAGGACACTTCACGTCAAAGGTGCATTTTTCAACCACAGTTTGCTTAGAAAACAAATATCTTGTCTTTTTTCCTAAATATATCCTACACCACAGTTATATAAGCTGGCTTTGTAAAATGCTTTGTAATTGCAAACGTCATGCTATAATACCCGATTTTAAAGCATACAGTCATGGTCCGAAATTGTTGGCCCCTTGTATTTTTCCTGAAAATCAAGTATTTCACACAAAAAAGGTATTGCATTAACACATGTTTTGCTATACACATGTTTATTCCCTTTGTATGTATTGGAACAAATATAAAAACAGAGGCAGAAAAGCAAATATGACATAATGTCACACAAAACCCAAAATATTGGCACCCTTAACTTAATATTTGGTTGCACACCCTTTGGAAAACATAACTGAAATCAGTCGCTTCCTATAACCATCAATAAGCTTCTGACACCTCTCACCCGGAATTTTGGACCACTCTTCCTTTGCAAACAGCTCCAGGTCTCTCTTATTGGAAGGACACCTTTTCCCAACAGCAATTTTAAGATCTCTCCACAGGTGTTCAATGGGATTTAGATCTGGGCTCATTGCTGGCCACTTCAGAACTCTCCAGCGCTTCTTTGCCATCCATTTCTGAGTGCTTTTTGACGTATGTTTGGGGTCATTGTCCTGCTGGAAGACCCAGGATCTTGGACGCAAACCCAGCTTTCTGACACTGGGCCCTACAGTGCGACCCAAAATCCTTTGGTAATCCTCAGATTTCATGATGCCTTGCACACAGTCAAGGCACCCAGTGCCAGAGGCAGCAAAACAACCCCAAAACATCATTGAACCTCCACCATATTTTACCGTAGGTACTGTGTTTTGTTCTTTGTAGGCCTCATTCCGTTTTCGGTAAACAGTAGAATGATGTGCTTTACCGAAAAGCTCTATCTTGGTCTCATCTGTCCACAAGACGTTTTCCCAGAAGGCTTTTGGCTTACTCAAGTACATTTTGGCAAACTGTAGTCTTGCTTTTTTATGTCTCTGTGTCAGCAGTGGGGTCCTCCTGGGTCTCCTGCCATAGCGTTTCATTTCATTTAAATGTCGACGGATAGTTCGCGCTGACACTGATGCTCCCTGAGCCTGCAGGACAGCTTGAATGTCTTTGGAACATGTTTGGGGCTGCTTATCCACCATCCGGACTATTCTGCGTTGCAATCTTTCATCAATTTTCCTCATCCGTCCACGACCAGGGAGATTAGCTACAGTGCCATGGGTTGCAAACTTCTTGATAATGTTGCGCACTGTGGACAAAGGCAAATCTAGTTCTCTGGAGATGGACTTGTAACCTTGAGATTGTTGATATTTTGCCACAATTTTGGTTCTCAGGTCCTCAGACAGTTCTCGTCTCTCTTCTTTCTGTTGTCCATGCTTAGTGTGGCACAGACAGACACACAATGCAAAGGTTAAGTGAACGTCTCTCCCTTTTTTATCTGCTTTCAGGTGTGATTTCTATATTGCCCACACCTGTTACTTGCCCCAGGTGAGTTTACAGGAGCATCACATGCTTGTAACATTCTTATTTATCCGCAGTTGTGAAAGGGTGCCAATACTTTTGTCCAGCCCATTTTTGGAGGTTTGTGTGACATTATGTCGAATTTGCTTTCTTTCCTCCCTTTTTTTGTTTTGTCCCAATACACACAATGTTTTATTCGCCAATTTGAAACCATTTATATAAAAGAACTGTCTTTTGAATTTACGTAGCCTCAGCACAGAGCAAATAAATTACATCAACACTTGGGAGAAAAACAAACATTACAGAAATACAAGCTTCTCTCGTGGCAAGCGGTGCTAGGACCACATATGCCAGTGTTATGCCTACACAAAGCAGCTGTTCAGAATCTCTGCAGGTAATTAATGTAATAAAACATTTTTCTCATCCTGTTAGATTTCTACAGGGATCGGTTGCTTGTTTAACCCTTCAATGTGTTGCCTCATGCACACCAATATACAGCTAAATGTTCACTGTAGGCTGCATGGAAAAAGCCTCGTATGTACCCCCCAACTCACATACTTAGCAAACAGGGAGGATCTTTGCCCTCCAGTTTTTCTGTCAGGAAATTATATTGTTTTACAACGGTCAAGCAGCGTGACATGTTAAATGCACAGTGTCAAGGTAGCACTATACTTAGCCCATGACATTTCATAAATGGTGTCTCAATGGTTTCCTTCCTCAATGAAACCTGCACTTTGACCAAGCATAAGTGCATACCCTTTAACCACTTGACCTCCAGAAGATATTTTACTCCCCTTCCTGACCAGGCCATTTTTGGCGATACGGCACTCTGCATTACTTTGACAATTGTGCGGTTATGCAACAATGTACATAAATTAAATTTATGTCATTTTTTTCCCTCAACTATAGCTTTTTGGTGGTATTTGATCACTCTGTGCATTTTTTACTTTTTGCGTTGTAAACAAAAAATTTTTTTTTTATTATTTTCTGCTATACATAACCAATAAAAAAAAACCTTTCTTCATAAATTTAGGCCAAAAATGTATTCTGCTACATATTTTTGGTAAACAAAAATCCCAATAAGCGTATATTGATTAGTTATACCATGTACAAACTATGGGACATATACTGGAATTTTTAAATAAAAGAATTGGCAGCGGTTAGCAATTCTAGTGGGATTGCGATATTGTGGGTGAAACACTTCAGGGATTTTTTTTTTTTTTTTTTTTTTTTTTTTTTTTTTTTTTTTTAAACAACATAATTAATAATTAGTAGGCTGCAGGGCTGGATAGCCCAGACAATCTAGGCCTTCGTGTGAGTAATTGTAAATTAAAGTGCCCTAAGGACAACCTAAAGCAACTATGTACAAAAATGTGGACAAAAAAAAACAGTCTCTCCTCTAAGAGCATCCAAAGCTATTTGGTTGTACCTCCTCAGACCACAGATGAATCCTTGCTCTTCACCCAGCTGCCTGAGGGGTAGCTCTGGGGCAGGGGGAACCAGGAGCTATAGATTTAGAACAGTCCCGGATGAAGACTAGTTTGATTTTGCACCTAACTATCCCTCCCCCTTATCTGGCCCAATAGGGGTGTAGGAGTACTCACTCACTCTGTTTTCCGCTGTTTGCTTAGTGGGTTGGTGCTGCCTTAAGGCCTTATTGCTGGGCTCAACTCCTTCCCTGCTTCACAGGCCATCCTCCCAGGGAGATGACAGGAGATCCTCTCCTTCCAGAATAGTTCCTGCACGTGGGCTCCCCCTCCCTGGAGCCCCCTTCCAGGCACCTCACTCCAGCCTTCCTCAGTCCATCTTTCCCCACCGAAACACTGCCCCCAAACCCCTCCTGTGATGCTTAAGGGTTGCCTTGATCACCATACCCCAGCCTCCTACCAAGGGATTGGCCAAGGTCCTTCAAGCATGCAGATCCAAGCCCTCCCTTCCCCTCCTCCATTAAGCTTTCAGATTTCTAGAGAGGTGGGAGGGCTCCAGAAGTTCTGACCTTCAGAACCTCCCTAGCCTGTCCTGAGGTGAACTCCTGCCTCACTCACAGGGTGACTCATCTCAGGCTGCCACTCAGCCTCTGCCCAAAATAGAAAACAAACCAGCCTATCTAGGCTAACCTGGAGAGCATTACATCTTTTAGACATAAATTTTAGGTAAGAAGGAAGCAGTGTATTTAAATAGAAGAACAAACAAACCCATATCTTGAGGGAGGATTCGAGTCGAATAAATTCGCTGTGAATTTAACTTAAAAAAGGGTGTTTCTAGGCTTCAGAGAGACTTAATATTAGTGCAGAACACTGTACCTTTAATTTAAATGCCCTTGGAGTCTGCTGGGGAAGAGAAATAATACTGTCAGTCAGTATGACATGCAGATGAGTGCCGTCGATCTTAGAATCACCGCACACTTCACTCATTTGGGCAGTCACGGGGCCAAAACCAGAGTGTGGAGCCACAGTGTGGCGGTGGAGGCAGCAGCAATGGGAGGCCATACAGCACCCTATGACAAAAATGGAAACCACCAGCAGTGTGAGGAGACCTGAAAGTGGCACATGGCAGAGTGTGGCGATAGAGACAGCAGCAATGGGAGGCCGTACAGGGACCCATGACACACTCTGGACTGGCCTGGCAGCAGCATGAGGAGGCGGTACAGGGGCCCATGACAGATTACGGGCCTGGCAGCAGCATGAGGAGTCGGTACAGGGGCCCATGGCAGATTACGGGCCTGGCAGCAGCAATGGGAGGCCGTACAGGGACCCATGACACACTCTGGACCTGGCAGCAGCAGCAGCATGGGGAGGCGGGGTACAGGGGCCCATGACATTACATTACGGGCCTGGCAGCAGCATGAGGAGTCGGTACGGGGGCCCATGACACACTCTGGACCTGGCAGCAGCATGCATGAGGAGGCGGGTACAGGGGCGCATGACAGATTACGAGCCTGGGCAGCAGCAACTTGGACAGGAGGACGTTCAGCTTCTGCACCGTCGGGTGCGTGCTCGCAAACTGTTGTCTCTTGGAAACGATTTCCAAGAAAGACTGCTGACGGAATCCGTGAAGAGGAGTAGCAGGAGAAGGAGCATCTGAACGAGCGGAATATGCCAACAAGCGACAAACAGTGGCCCATGACAGATTACGGGCCTGGCAGCAGCATGAGGAGGAGTCGGTACGGGGGCCCATGGCAGATACGGGCCTGGCAGCAGCTATGGGAGGCCCGTAATCTGCCAGCACCCTATGACAAAAAATGGAACCCCACCAGCAGTGTGAGGAGACCTGAAAGTGGCACATGGCAGAGTGTGGCGATGGAGACAGCAGCAATGGGAGGCCGTACAGGGACCCATGAGAGACTCTGGACCTGGCAGCAGCATGAGGAGGCGGTATAGGGGCCCATGGCAGATTAGGGGCCCTGGCAGCAGCAGCTATGGGAGGCCCGTAATCTGCCAGCACCCTATGACAAAAAATGGGAACACACCAGCAGTGTGAGGAGACCTGAAAGTGGCACATGGCAGAGTGTGGCGATGGAGGCAGCAGCAATGGGAGGCCGTACAGGGACCCATGAGAGACTCTGGACTTGGCAGCAGCATGAGGAGGAGGCGGTATAGGGGCCCATGGCAGATTAGGGGCCTGGCAGCAGCTATGGGAGGCCCGTAATCTGCCAGCACCCTATGACAAAAAATGGAACACACCAGCAGTGTGAGGAGACCTGAAAGTGGCACATGTTTGGGGCATGATTCATGGCGGATTTAGTCAGTTGTGTCAGGAACTGGTGGTTTGAAATCCAGACTAATCCACGCCTGATTCATTTTCACAAACGTGAGTCTCTCCACACTTTGGGTGGACAGTCGTGTCCTCCGCGGAGTTGCAATACCTCCTGCCGCACTAAACACGCGCTCCGATGCCACGCTACTGGCCGGGCATGACAGCCTTTCAAGGGCAAATTCAGCTAGTTGGGGCCAAAGGTCAAGTTTCGTTGCCCAGTAGTCAAGGGGATTGTCTACCTCGGTTGGCAGGGTGCTGTCCAAGTAGGCCTAAGCCTGTTGTTTGAGGTCCTGCTCCAGGTCCACCTGATGCTGCTGCTGCTGCTGCGGCTGGTTAGTAGTTTCCTCACTGCGCTGGTGAAGAAAGCTACTCATCATCGACTGCAGACTGAGGCAGCCGCTGCTGGTGGGAGCTGCCATGCTCCTACCACCCCACCCCTCCCCTGCTGCCATGGCAGCGGAAACGAGAGCGCACAGGGCCCACAGTGTCTGAGGAGGATGGACGTTGGCGCAGACAGGCAGAGACCAGCTGACTACATAGGTGTTTTTTATAGTACGTTATTTTGGCCTCCTCTCTGAAGCAGTGTGTGAAAAAGGCCACCATTTTTGAACGGTAGCGAGGGTCCAACAAGGTGTGGACAGCCAAAAGTCATCCCTCTGTCTGATGGTTATTATTCGGCTGTCGCTACGCAAGCAACCGAGCATGCTATGGGCCATTTGTGCCAAGGAATGCGAGAGGGGACTCCCTGCCTCCATCTCCACAGCATACTGCCCACGGTGCGTCTAGGTCCTCTGTCTCCTCTTCCTCCTCCTCTACCAGATGCTCCTGCTCCTCCACTCCTGTCCGCTGAGTGGAAAAAAACCACCCATTTCACTCAATAATTCCTGAGCACCAATGTCTCCTCTACCTCCTCCTCTTCTTCCAGTCCTGCCCCCACAGGGGGCCATGTGGCGTTGAGATCTGTGCGCCACGTCTACCGCACCCTGACCAGCCATTGTTAACAGCATTTGTTCCAGGACGTGCAACAGAGGAATGACGTCGTTCATCCCATAGTCCTGCCGACTCACGAATAGCGTGGCCTCTCTCAAAGGGCCTGAGCAAGCGCAGGTGTCACGCATGAGCTGCCAATGGCTGACATCTAAGTTACACAGGGAGTACCTTTATCTGCTTTTTTAACATCAGGAAATCTGTGATGGCCTTTTTGCTGTTCGTAAAGGCGGTCTAACATATGTAGGGTTGAATTCCACCTTGTTGCAACGTCACAGCATGAGGATGAGGAGTCGGTATAGGGGCCCATGGCAGATTAGGGGCCTGGCAGCAGTTATGGGAGGGCCCATAATCTGCTGCCAGCACCCTATGACAAAAAAAAATGGAAACACACCAGCAGTGTGCAGTGTGAGGAGACCTGAAAGTGGCACATGGCATGGCAGAGTGTGGCGATGGAGACAGCAGCAATGGGAGGCCGTACAGGGACCCATGAGAGACTCTGGACCTGGCAGCAGCAGCATGAGGGAGGCGGTATATAGGGGCCTACGGCAGATTAGGGGCCTGGCAGCAGCTATAGGAGGCCCGTAATCTGCCAGCACCCTATGTCAAAAAATTTAACACACCAGCAGTGTGTGAGGAGACCTGAAAGTGGCACATGGCAGCAGAGTGTGGCGATGGAGACAGCAGCAATGGGAGGCCGTACAGGGACCCATGACAGACTCTGGACTGGCAGCAGCATGAGGAGGCGGGGCGGTATATAGGGGGCTTATGGCAGATTAGGGGCCTGGCTGGCAGCAGCTATGGGAGGCCCGTAATCTGCCAGCACCCTATGTCAAAAAATTCAACACACCAGCAGTGTGAGGAGACCTGAAAGTGGCACATGGCAGCAGAGTGTGGCGATGGGAGACAGCAGCAATGGGAGGCCGTACAGGGACCCATGACAGACTCTCTGAACTTGGCAGCAGCATGAGGAGGCGTTATATAGGGGGCCCATGGCAGATTAGGGGCCTGGCAGCAGCTATGTGAGGCCCGTAATCTGCCAGCACCCTATGTCAAAAAATTTAACACACCAGCAGTGTGTGAAGAGACCTGAAAGTGGCACATGGCAGCAGAGTGTGGCGATGGAGACAGCAGCAATGGGAGGCCGTACAGGGACCCATGACAGACTCTGGACTTGGCAGCAGCATGAGGAGGCGGTATATATAGGGGCCCATGCAGATTAGGGGCCTGGCAGCAGCTATGTGAGGCCCGTAATCTGCCAGCACCCTATGTCAAAAAATTTAACACACCAGCAGTGTGTGAAGAGACCTGAAAGTGGCACATGGCAGCAGAGTGTGGCGATGGAGACAGCAGCAATGGGAGGCCGTACAGGGACCCATGACAGACTCTGGACTTGGGCAGCAGCATGAGGAGGAGGAGGGGGGTATATAGGGGCCCATGGCAGATTAGGGGCCTGGCAGCAGCTATGTGAGGCCCGTAATCTGCCTGCACCCTATGTCAAAAAATTTAACACACCAGCAGTGTGAAGAGACCTGAAAGTGGCACATGGCAGCAGAGTGTGGCGATGGAGACAGCAGCAATGGGAGGCCGTACAGGGACCCATGACAGACTCTGGACTTGGCAGCAGCATGAGGAGGAGGCGGGTATATAGGGGCCCATGGCAGATTAGGGGCCTGGCAGCAGCTATGTGAGGCCCGTATCTGCCTGCAGCACCCTATGTCAAAAAAATTAAACACACCAGCAGTGTGAAGAGACCTGAAAGTGGCACATGGCAGCAGAGTGTGGCGATGGAGACAGCAGCAATGGGAGGCCGTACAGGGACCCATGACAGACTCTGGACTTGGCAGCAGCAGCATGAGATGGGCGGTATATAGGGGCCCATGGCAGATTAGGGGCCTGGCAGCAGCTATGTGAGGCCCGTAATCTGCCTGCACCCTATGTCAAAAAAATTTAACACACCAGCAGTGTGAAGAGACCTGAAAGTGGCACATGGCAGCAGAGTGTGGCGATGGAGACAGCAGCAATGGGAGGCCGTACAGGGACCCATGAGAGACTCTGGACTTGGCAGCAGCATGAGGAGGCGGGGTATATAGGGGCCCATGGCAGATTAGGGGCCTGGCAGCAGCTATGTGAGGCCCGTAATCTGCCTGCACCCTATGTCAAAAAATTTAACACACCAGCAGTGTGAAGAGACCTGAAAGTGGCACATGGCAGCAGAGTGTGGCGATGGAGACAGCAGCAATGGGAGGCCGTACAGGGACCCATGAGAGACTCTGGACTTGGCAGCAGCATGAGGAGGCGGTATATAGGGGCCCATGGCAGATTAGGGGCCTGGCAGCAGCTATGTGAGGGCCCGTAATCTGCCTGCACCCTATGTCAAAAAATTTAACACACCAGCAGTGTGAAGAGACCTGAAAGTGGCACATGGCAGCAGAGTGTGGCGATGGAGACAGCAGCAATGGGAGGCCGTACAGGGACCATGACAGACTCTGGACTTGGCAGCAGCATGATGAGGAGGCGGTATATAGGGGCCCATGGCAGATTAGGGGCCTGGCAGCAGCTATGTGAGGCCCGTTATCTGCTGCCTGCACCCTATGTCAAAAAAATTTAACACACCAGCAGTGTGAAGAGACCTGAAAGTGGGCACATGGCAGCGTGTGGCGATGGAGACAGCAGCAATGGGAGGCCGTACAGGGACCCATGAGAGACTCTGGACTTGGCAGCAGCATGAGGAGGCGGTGGTATATAGGGGCCCATGGCAGATTAGGGGCCTGGCAGCAGCTATGTGAGGCCCGTAATCTGCCTGCACCCTATGTCAAAAAAATTTAACACACCAGCAGTGTGAAGAGACCTGAAAGTGGCACATGGCAGCAGAGTGTGGCGATGGAGACAGCAGCAATGGGAGGCCGTACAGGGACCCATGAGAGACTCTGGACTTGGCAGCAGCATGAGGAGGCGGTATATAGGGGCCCATGGCAGATTAGGGGCCTGGCAGCAGCTATGTGAGGCCCGTAATCTGCCTGCACCCTATGTCAAAAAATTTAACACACCAGCAGTGTGAAGAGACCTGAAAGTGGCACATGGCAGCAGAGTGTGGCGATGGAGACAGCAGCAGCAATGGGAGGCCGTACAGGGACCATGACAGACTCTGGACTTGGCAGCAGCATGAGGAGGCGGTATATAGGGGCCCATGGCAGATTAGGGGCCTGGCAGCAGCTATGTGAGGCCCGTAATCTGCCTGCACCCTATGTCAAAAAAATTTAACACACCAGCAGTGTGAAGAGACCTGAAAGTGGCACATGGCAGCAGAGTGTGGCGATGGAGACAGCAGCAATGGGAGGCCGTACAGGGACCCATGAGAGACTCTGGACTTGGCAGCAGCATGAGGAGGCGGCGGTATATAGGGGCCCATGGCAGATTAGGGGCCTGGCAGCAGCTATGTGAGGCCCGTAATCTGCCTGCACCCTATGTCAAAAAATTTAACACACCAGCAGTGTGAAGAGACCTGAAAGTGGCACATGGCAGCAGAGTGTGGCGATGGAGACAGCAGCAATGGGAGGCCGTACAGGGACCCATGAGAGACTCTGGACTTGGCAGCAGCAGAGGAGGAGGCGGTATATAGGGGCCCATGGCAGATTAGGGGCCTGGCAGCAGCTATGTGAGGCCCGTAATCTGCCTGCACCCTATGTCAAAAAATTTAACACACCAGCAGTGTGTGAAGAGACCTGAAAGTGGCACATGGCAGCAGAGAGTGTGGCGATGGAGACAGCAGCAATGGGAGGCCGTACAGGGACCCATGAGAGACTCTGGACTTGGGCAGCAGCATGAGGAGGGCGGTATATAGGGGCCCATGGCAGATTAGGGGCCTGGCAGCAGCTATGTGAGGCCCGTAATCTGCCTGCACCCTATGTCAAAAAATTTAACACACCAGCAGTGTGAAGAGACCTGAAAGTGGCACATGGCAGCAGAGTGTGGCGATGGGAGACAGCAGCAATGGGAGGCCGTACAGGGACCCATGACAGACTCTGGACTTGGCAGCAGCAGATGAGGAGGCGGTATATAGGGGCCCATGGCAGATTAGGGGCCTGGCAGCAGCTATGTGAGGCCCGTAATCTGCCTGCACCCTATGTCAAAAAATTTAACACACCAGCAGTGTGAAGAGACCTGAAAGTGGCACATGGCAGCAGAGAGTGTGGCGATGGAGACAGCAGCAATGGGAGGCCGTACAGGGACCCATGAGAGACTCTGGACTTGGCAGCAGCATGAGGAGGCGGTATATATAGGGGCCCATGGCAGATTAGGGGCCTGGCAGCAGCTATGTGAGGCCCGTAATCTGCCTGCACCCTATGTCAAAAAAAATTTAACACACCAGCAGTGTGAAGAGACCTGAAAGTGGCACATGGCAGCAGAGTGTGGCGATGGAGACAGCAGCAATGGGAGGCCGTACAGGGACCCATGAGAGACTCTGGACTTGGCAGCAGCATGAGGAGGCGGTATATAGGGGCCCATGGCAGATTAGGGGCCTGGCAGAGCTATGTGAGGCCCGCAGTGTGAGGAGACCTGAAAGTGGCACATGGCAGTTGTGGCGAT